TGGGGCCGCTCCCTATGGAACTTTGGAGGCACAAAGTTGCTAGAGCGTTCACTAAACCGGGATAACGTGCATGGCCATAAACGCACGGCCTATGAGAGAATATCACTCAATGAAAAGATCCAGTGTGCTACATTGTCTGAGATAGGGTTCAAGACTACGAGTCACCCTTATGAAATCGGAAGTGTAACCACTACGCTAAGGTTCAAATCTTCGCGATACCTTAGCTTATGCCCGATCTTATGGATCTGTTGATGCTCAGAGATAGTTTCAAAACTATTCAAGTGGGGGATTGTTGGGAATGAATAGCTTTGAAAGCTATATTGAATTAATTATCCCGTATTCTTTCTAGATACGAAAATAGGAAGGATAATTAATAAAAAGAATATTATGGAGATAATTAGGATTAATTATCTTAATATAACATAATATATTTTAATTATGGAAGTAATTATCTTCCTGATTAAAATGTCGCTTATTCCCAAAGAAAGAGGGAATATTCTAGGTTTTCTGCTCCTATAAATAGCAGACCCCTAGACCCTCTAAACACACCTCAGAGAGCAGAAACACGAGATAGAGAGTGAGTTCATAGAGCTCCGGTTTTCGCACAAAACCGATGAGCAACAAAATAAGAATGGCTGTTTTATCCTGGAGGCGACCGGTTGATAGTCTGCCGTGCGCAACGAAGGCAGTGCCGCGAACGTCTTAAAGAGAGCGACCTAGTCCGCGACTCAGCCAGATCGGTAACCCTATTTTTCTGTTCGGTTTCTAACACAATCACTCCGTTGTGCAACGATGAATTTGGGCCACGCCCACGCCGAATAGTTAGGCCTTGGTCGTTAACCCGGTTTGGCAAATTTGAGGTACTCGTACATAATAATCGTTGATCCAATTGTTCCTTTATTATGGTCGAACCTAAACTCAAATATCGGGGTGTTACAAAGATGATGGTGCATGGCTAGGCCGGAATGGGTGATTGATGCTTGTTGTGAATCGTTTATCTGTGTGTATGTTGTGATTGACGATGTTCAAATGGGTATAATGTTATTGTTGAACTTGTGCTAGTCCTATAGGTGTTTATGTGTGAGTGGCGAATGTTTATAGCGGTACTAGTATAATGAGAACAAGAAGGGCATATCGCTAATCGTGATTGCTCAGTACCTTGTTTATGTTAATTACCATACCAGGTTAGTTTTTACTCATTGAGGTGATGTCTCATCCCTGTCAAAAAATTTCCCCAGATCCGAAGTTGTTGACTAGAAGTCAAGAAGTTCAGCAAGACTCAGCTCGGCAGCAATGAGGTGGGACGGTGGGCTCGAACTCCAACATGACCATGTTCATAAGTATTTTGAGAGAAAACGGTCTTCTCTACCGTCATGTGGTTTTAAAAGTTTTGTAAATTATGGCTTGATTTGTAAACTGAACAGGAAAGTGTATGGTTTGACAATGATTGTTTTGTAAACTGGTTTCAAATAGGTATGGGTGTTACATACTAACTATCATTTACGACTTTCATCATTGTTTACCACAAGCTACCTCCCCTATACCAGGATGGTAAAGTATGGTAACTTTTGGTCCTGTATTTTTTTCACCCAGAATTTTGTAGATCCAATAGATCATGAGGAACTCGTTCCTTCTAAGAAAATGTTTTAAAAAACGACTTAGAAACGAAGAAGTTACCATATGGTATACAGTTGATAACGGGAGGTATGAAAAAAAAATTCTCAAAAAATATTGAACATTGATCTCATTTTGCAGAGCACAACAAACTCATTTCATCTGTGCAAAAAAAAAAAACTGAGTTAGAACGAAGAAGATAAGAGCCGATTAAGAAAACTAGGGAAAATGAATTGCCTTTAATTCTCCACATTTATATATGAATTTTCTAGGTCCATTTAAATCTGATGGCTGAGATTTGATTACTCATTGGTCAGTAACCAGTGGATACTGACCGTATCCTAAGCCCTTCTTATTGGCATATATGGGTATTCAGTTATCAATCTTCGAATATTAAAGAGAAATATTTGGTTAAAAAGTAGAACAAAGACCTGCCCACCCCGGCCCTTCCCCGACGATTTCGCTCCTCGGTTCTCCTCATCCTCCAACACTCGTCTGATCTCCACGGTCGAGCACTCTCCGCCTGCTACTGAGCGCGATGGTCGAGCACGCTCCCAATTATTTACACATTGTCTATTGAATCTCTTCTCCTTCAAGCTCCGAGGGCTTGGATGGATGGTCTGTTTTCGAGTCGTGTTTCGTCGACGAGATCCAGAGGAGGTTTCCGAGAGAAATGTCGGAGAGTGGCGGCTCGACCTGCTGCAGAGGTTGACTGGGTGGATGAGGTGGGACGGCTTCTAGGTCCCGGTTAGCTTTTCGAAGGCTTCCATGGTCGATTTCCCGAGGAGGGCGGAAACGATCTCGACTCGTGTCCGTGTCGGAGAGATTGGGACTTTAGAAACTGGATCATGACGAATCGAAGACGATTTTCCAGTTCACATATTTCCCTGTCTTGAGGAACGTTCCCTACATCGGCATTGAAGCATCTCAGAGCCGGTGGAAGATGGTTTTCTCTTCTTCTCCCCTCGGCTGCCACTTCAAATAATTGACTTAGACGTCTATCAACTCTAGAATTAAGATAGTCCATTTGAGAGTTTACCCGATGAGAAGCAGCTCTAGCCTCCTCCATCATGCGGCGGTTCTCCACCATCATTTGGTGGTTCTCTGCCACCAGTTTGCGGTTCTCCTCCATCATTTGACGAAGGACCCCCACTGCTTCACCAATATCTCCACTAGGCGTCGCCTTTGGTAGGATCTCTGCCCCACCATCGTTTCCGGCCACCGCCTCTGACACTTGGCCATGTTCAATGTTGGCCACCTACTCCTCCACAAAATCACCCCCTACACCATTTTTTCCCTTCTGATCCTTACCATCACTTTGGATTTGGACATGCTTGCCTTTGTCAGACACTATTACTTTGTAACCCGTTTTCATAGAGTTTTCCACCTCAATACTAGCATGATCATCCTTATTTTGTTGTGATGGCCCCACTATCTCACCAGGTACTACTGGGTATTTCCCCTTTCGTGCATAAGCATTCTTACGTAGGAATCTCCTCCTTTGAGTCCTTGTCATCCCCCCAATAGCTACAGGTTGACTATGAATATCATAAGTATGCTCCCCTCCTTGTGGCACATTGGGCATCTTGGAAGTCCTTCTCATGGGAAGAGGGCCATGTGCCACCCATTGCCCTTCTTTGCCCCCATGTCAGTTGAATGACCCCCTCTACTTGTCTTTGATAGGATGGGTATCTCGGTCTATGGGGTGGGCCAATTCTTTGTTGGATTGGTCGATTCGGTCTCACTTCATCAAGTCTAAGACTCCTTTTGCATTGGGAACATAGCTTCTCCACCTCACTGGACACCTTAGACGCGGCCGAGTTAGCCTGCTTGCCCCTCGATGACTCCTCCTGCTCAACCACTACCTAGGGAGTCCCTTGTTGTGGTGTTGTATCTAACACCAGTTTGAAACAAGGAAGCTCAATCTTGGAGAAGTATGGATTAACCATGTTAACACCAAGCACGTTGGGAAACGGGTTGGTATCCATCAGCATGACATCTTTCTTTGGCTCGGGGAGCTTGATGCGACCCTTCTCAATAGCATCCTGCAATATATTGCGAAAAAACACATATGAGTTTGTGGAGTGTAGCATGTTGTTATGCCACTTACAATATGTTTTCCCTCTTAACTTCTCAGGGGGTGGGATGTTATGCCCCCCTGTCAACTTGCTTTGACCATCTTTGTAGAGTTGGTCAAAAATCAAGTCAGTTTTGGATATATCGAATGAATACTTCCGTGGCTGGATGGGGGCACGATTTGGTCTACCCCCTTGTGACTCATTGTCCATCTTAGCCAAAGGAGCACATACATATGACTTCCCCGGGGTTAACTCAGCCAGGTCTACCTCGACCTCGTTGGCCTCTTGGCCAATATTGTTAACTAGGTAGCCGATGTTGGGGAAGTATTGCCCCCTTGATGCACTCCTCCTATTCTCCTCTTCTTGAAGAAGAGATTCATATCTCACCGCACAAGACATGAGTTGGAACAAGTCAGAGAATTCTCTATCTTGGAATTTCTTCCTTAACTCAAAACTCAACCCCCCTTGTGCTAACTTGACAAACTCTCTCTCTCTGTCAAGTTGACAAAACAACAGTTACGAGCATTCTTGATGTTTGTCAAGAAGTGCTCCACTGACTCCCCTGGCCCTTGGCGCATTCGTGCCAAATCAGCCATGGAAACCTCACGCTCAGATCTATAGAACTGAGCATGGAAGATTTGCTCCATCTGCTGCCATGTTTGGATGGAGTTGGATGGCAAGTTGACATACCAAGCAAAAACAGGTCCTCTCAATGAGTTTCCAAATACTCTTAACTTAATAAAATCTCCTACATCCCCACACTGGACAGTAAAACATCCAATGTGCTCCACAGTAGACTGGTCCCGTGTCCCAGTGAATGTGGCAAACTCGGGCACCCTGAACCCCCTTGGGAATGGGTAGAATCTATCCACCTACTCGGGGTATGGTTTTCGATAAACAAGTGGCATGGTCGGTCTCACTCCCATGCCAAATTGCTCGGCAAGAAGTTGAGCCACCTGATCCCTTAGAGTGTTGGGATCATGCCCCATGGTTTCCCCCCTTGGGGTACGAAACCCTTGGGGTCCATGCCATGCCCATTGAAATGGGGTGGCATGGGTGTTTGGTATGCTCTCGGAGGAACTTGATCTCCCTCACCTAAGCCTACTCCCCCTCCAATGTGACCAGGCACCGTATAGGGCCTTGCCACTGGTATGAGTTTGGGTGGCAGTTCCACTGGAGCAGAATGTGTAACTCCCAAATTCTCACCACGTGGGGGAATTTATCCAACTCCCACATTGGGTATCCCTTCCACTTGAGTAGTGGGAGGAATCTCGCCGCGATTCATGCGGTGAGGAGTTGGTTGGTTTGTCATCGGCGGAAAGAGGTTATCTTGCCGTGGCTGACCATTTCCGCCGCCGACGAGAGATGAACTATAATTAACAGAATTGTTAATAGGGTTTGGATTCCCGCCATCTAATGGCAGAGCTCTAGATTGGATTATTGGTGTAGTTAAAAACCTTCTAAACTCATCAAAATCACTTTTGTTCTTATTAGTCACTTCAAATAATTGACTTAGACGTCTATCAACTCTAGAATTAAGACAGTCCATTTGAGAGTTTACCTGATGAGAAGCAGCTCTAGCCTCCTCCATCATGTGGCAGTTCTCAACCATCATTTGGCGGTTCTCCTCTGTGGCTTGACGGTTCTCTGCCACCAGTTTGCGGTTCTCCTCCATAATTTGACGAAGGACCCCCATTGCTTCACCAATATCTCCACTAGGCGTCGCCGTTGGTAGGATCTCTGCCCCACCATCGTTTCCGGCCACCGCCTCAGACACTTGGCCATGTTCAATGTTGGCCACCTGCTCCTCCACAAAACCAGTCGGAGCGTCACTTTCTTGATTCCTCCGCATCGGAGCCATCAAATAAAACACACGGGTCGCACCGGGTGTGCAAATTTGTTTTTCCGGCGAGAAAAATCTAGATGAACAGAATTGGATTTTGCACCTTTGACTTCCAAACAAATGATCAAACAACACAGTTCACACCTCTTTGAACAAAGTTCAAACAAGGGTGTTCAATGTTTTGATGAACTACGAGGCAAATCTACATTAAATTAGCCCTACTCCTATGGAGGTTCAGTGAGAGCTCCAAAAACTACCACTATGGCTAAAGTTGCAGAGGACAAGAGAAAAAGATAAAACTTGACAAGTGGTGTCGAGTTGTGATTTTGGCGAACCCCTTCACCGTCATCTTCACCTCCTATTTATAGCCACCAGAAGTAACTGCCTCGAGAAACTAATCTGCTGACGCGGAGTGGCGGTTACCCTCTCAACTGCTTCGACGGCCACTCTGACGTTGGATGTGCCACCTTCTTCAGTCCTGACCCCCTCCTCTTGAGATCTCACTCCCTGCTCTTGGTATCTCCTCCATAGCTTTGCTTGTCTATAGAGAAAAAAATGGCTAAGGCATGACAGAATACCACGTGCCACATATGGGTGGGTATTTGAATCACATGCATTAAAAATGACAAAAATACTTCTCCATTAAGAGAGTAAAGAGACCACGTGTCAACATGACCCCCTTGCCTTGGCCATACCATGGGGATGTACATTGGTGACCTCCTCACCATACCATTGGGGGCATCTCCCATGGGGTCATATGGATCACCCCACCACTATATCATCCTCATGGGAGCTGGCGTTGGTGACCCCCTACACCCTGATCATACCATGGGGGTGGTATGTTGCTGGTCAACAGACCACCTCATGGGGGTGCTCCTTGCCACCCTCATCATCTTCCATACTTAGCAACATTTTACCTCTTCTCGTCTCACCAAGGCGCCATGGGGGTGGCTCCCATACTCCTTGCCTTAGCCAAATTCGGCCATCACCCCCATCAACATGTCATGGGGGTGGCGGTATGATGTCCACCCCCTTGCCACGTCCTGGGGTGGCTCCCGTACTCCTTGCCTTAGCCAAATTCGACCATCACCCCCCTCAACATGTCATGGTGTGGCGGTATGATGTACACCCCCTTGCCACATCCTGGGGGTGGTGGTATGATGCCCACCCCCCTCTGCGTGTCATGGGGGTGGCTCCCATACTTAGCAAAATTTGGATATGCATGGCGCTCGTGGTGGCACGGAGTAATGGGCCCAAAAACCCAATCCTCATGGCCCACTCAACTTATTTAAACTTATATGATTAAGTTGGCCTTATAAAGTCATTTAATTCCTTGTTTTTAATCGATGTGGTACAAAGTTAATTTTTTTGTGTAAACAGGTAAAGAGAAGAAGCAATTTTTCCTTGTTAATTTCGTTTGGGTCTGTCTCCCTGTGTGTTTTTGTCCCATAATGGGATTTGGAGCCAGGCAGCCGTAACTATTTCGTCCACTAGTATAGTAGAGCAGGAGATGCAACGAAGAAGAAGTGAAATGAGCTTATCAAGCGTTAATGGCTGCTTCGTTTCAGGGGGTTTCGGTTAATGAGTAATCTTGTACGGATTATGCGCCTGTATAATTATAATTATATAATGCAAATTGCTGGAAAAAAAGGGTTTTGCTTGGATGGTGGATTGGGTCTGTTTTAACAAAGATTACGATGAATAATTATTGCAACTATGCAGCTTCTTCCTATTACGAATGATGATGAACAGAGTAATTATCAAAGGGAACGACGACTTCGGAGAGGAGAGAGATGAATCGGAGAGGAATATAAATAATATTTTTTTCTTTTTAATAGGTGGAAATGAGGTGGAAAATGTAAAATAATTAAATTTATTTATTTTATTATTTTTAGTTGCCATGTCACACATTTAACGGTCAACCATAAGAGTTGACTGCTACATAAGCAACAGTTAATGGAGTTGGACGGAGAGTGACCAAACTTGACATATTTCAATAATTTTAGTGACCATATATGGAATGAAATATTTGTAGTGACCAAACGTGAACATTTTTAATAATCCGAGTGACCAACCTTGCAATTAACCCATTTTTTTATTGATTCCTGAATACCAATAATCAGGTTTTTTTTATTGAAAATCATAATTCATAATGATTATATAGGCTACATCACCAAGGACGAAGTCAGAGGATAGACTTTTTAAATTTTCAAAGTCATTTTTTATCACGTCCAAGTTTGGGAATGGAAAATAAAAAATTCTGATAATTCACGCACAAAAATGCTAGTCATTTATTTCAATTAACCTATATTTACACACATCGATTTTTTTCCTACGAGTCGATAAAATTTTTATTTATTTTTATAAATTTAATGAAGGATTACATCAACCACTTATTATTTCATGACAACTCAAATAATTATTTATGCCAAGTTGTTATTAATGTCAACCCTCTTTCGGATGTCTTCCTGGGAGTAGATTCGGTGCACAACCTTGTTGCGCATAATCATCCATAACTTGCCACATCACCATTTATGTGTTATGAGACATACAACATCAAATAAGGAAAGATAAGAGTGATACATTTGATTGAGATTGATAGCACCATTACACCAAATTAAACCGATCCTAGTTGAAGGAAATACAACCATACAAAATGCTCACAAGAAATTCAAAGTTCATTACATCTTATCAACACAATTCCAGTTTGCGTAACGTTTTATTTGACGCTCTCAAGAAACATGCGCACACACGCTCATTCAAAGCCGGGACGGACAAGCCCATGAAACACTTGGATTGTTGTTTGCAAAAGCAAGGAATCTAGGATCATGTTCCATGATGGTCATTTCATGCTCATGCAAGGTAACCCAAGCTTCGATTCCATGTCCAATCGGGGACTCCATCAACATAACCCTGTTGAACATCTGATTTGCAAATCCAGTCATGCCGACCCAAACAGGTTTTCCCCATCCAAAATCCACATCGTAGAATCCTATCCCGACCATGCTCGACATCCAAAACGTCATCACCGTGCTGTCACTTTCAGCTACGCCCGTCGGCATCAATGCCATAAGCCACGACTGCTGATTCCTGAAGAACTCCTCCCTTCCATCCCCGCCTTCTAACTTCTCCATCAACTTGTCGTCTACCTTTGAAACCGAACTCCTCAATTCACCCACCAGCTGCTGCAATGTCTTTGCTTCATCCGACCGTTGTTTACTGTCGTACTTGTACACCGTGGGGTTCGCCCAAAATATGTTGCCGACAGAGTAGTCCAGCCATGGCTCTTTCATTCTAGGTCGTAGGTCCACGAGCATCCCTATTCTTGGTTAAGAAAATGATTAATTTTAGTTAAAAGGGTTGACAAGGGTTATATAGGTATGATATGCCCAAAAATATGTTTGACTTCAAAATTTAAATGTTGACGCATCGTACGTACCTCCGACGGAGTAAACTGCCTCTCCACCGCCGGTTGACGTTACTGCTTTAGCGGTGGCGTTGACCGCGGATTTCCATATGAACCCGAAAACAACCTCGGAGCGGGTCGGGTTGGAAACCCGGTCGCTCCTAGCTCCGGATTTGAGAGCGGAAATGGCTTCCCCATCAAACACGAATCTCCTCGTCACCATCTTCTTCTGCCCTTCTTCACATCCGAAATTCACGGCGGGAGGCCCCACATCCTCGGGACTCAGTGGAAACAGCGACGCGGCTGCGCGGTCGTGAGCGTAGGCGGCGCCGCCTACTTCACTCCCCTGCCTGCAGGCGGCGGCCCCCCAGAATTTCACAAAATCGGCGGATGTGTGCGCGTCCATAATCTTGTGGGTCCCGCAGACCCCGACGGCGATCCCGCCGCAGGGGAAAAGGGTGGCCCTGGCGGCGAACAGCGGCGCGGATTCAATGGCCGCCGTCGTGAGGAGCAGCCCCGCCGGGAAAGGGAGGAATTGCTCGAGCGAGTCGGCATCGGGTCCCCTGGCGAGAAACAGAGCCATGGAGGAACCAATTCCTCCACCATCGGCCGTAGAGAAGGGAACGCCCTCGTCGCTGCAATGGATGAACATTAATGGAACTGAATCGGCCGCCGGCTGCTGATTCAGGCGCGACAACCGTCCGGCGAGCGGGTAGAAGCGGGTTAGGGCCTGGGCGAGTGAAGATTTCAGGACATGGAGCCTCTCTTGCCCTGTTTTGGAACCGTGGGCAGGATAGAAGAAGACGAGGGGCGTATACCCTGCTGCAGCAGTGTAGTTGTCGACTAGGGAGAGCTTGAAATTGGTGAGGTGTGGGGGAGTTGGTGAAGATGGTTTGATTGTTTCTGTGGAAATGATGCGAATTTTCTCACTTTGATTCATTTTTCAGTATGTGGGTGTACGTGTATAAAGTAAACAAGCTTTTAATTTTTACGTGCAGCTGGTTCTGATTTCTGAATGATGCGAAACGTAACGGTGTGGCTCTTCCGATCCTCCTAATATATAAAGACCAGCAGGGACGTGAAGAATAGCCTACAGCTAGCTAAGCTCTGCAAACGAACAAGTTGCACCATGCTCCCGATTAATTAAATGATTATTATATTGGACGAATAGCGGGGGAAGGCACCAACTCGGGAGGGCTGGGCTGGCTGTTCCTCGATCCCAGCATAATCTATTCAAATCAAGTCATTGAATACAATTCAGTTGATGTCCAACACAAACGACCAAGACTTCGCTTTAACAATGACTCTTTCGGCTGATATATCGATCAGGGAGGGACATGAAGAACAAGCTCTGCAAACGAACGAGTTGCACCTGCTCCCCATTAAATGAATGATAAAATAGCCTGTAACATCCCATCAATACATGGAGGTTCTGCCCAGCACCACACTTCATTCCCCCTTTTTATGCGCAGAGTAAGGAAGGGTGCCTGAGTCTTTTCACCAACTCCAGAGGGACTCGCCAACCTCTACAAACGATTAAATGAATGATCGAATCGCGTGTACCGAGCCGTACGTCAACTACAGAGGCCTGGGTGTTCAAGACTTCGGGCCGCGCGATATTCCTTAATCTCCGCCTAAATGATTCCTCCAGCGAGGATAATAGACAAGATCGTTTGAAAAGTCGTGCATGAAATTGCGCGGCACTGCTTGATCTGAAATGTAGACACTTGAGAATGATTGGTGTGGTCCATAATTTGTATTATATTATGTTTTGATCTCTTGGTGTGATATGATCTAGATCATGGTTTACCAACTGACTTTTCGGTACGTATTAGCAGCCCACTCGACCATTCTACCAACTCAATAAGACCCAAATCTCGGCCTTAATTTTGATAATCTCGTCCCGTCCTTCATTCACAATCACATTTCCTCATAAAATAGAGATAATCGTGTCTCCATCTGACATTAGGTTAATATTTATAACGTTATGGTGCAAGTTGGGATGCTTTAATTTTGTATCTTGTTATTTACTAAGATTTAGGGTGTCAAAACTATTCTTGCATGTTGGAATTTGTTTGAATTGTTAAGGCAAAAACAATTTTTTCTCGGTCATTGGTTCAATTTTCTTGTAGTTGACTAAACATATTTAAAATTTTCGTTCAATCTGGTCTATCTGGACCAGACGAGACCGCACAGGCGGAGTCTGGTCTGGAACGTATAGTATTTGTTCTAGTTTCTGGTCAATACTCAGCCTCTCGACCTGGATTGTAGACCATATATATGCTCTGGTCTAGATTAGGACACATTGTTTTCTAGCCCGACCTCTGAGAGTCGAAAGTTATGTGCTAACCATGGAAAAAGAATTCAAATGTGAGAGAAACCTAATTTTCAGTTTCTATCGTAATTATCATTAATAGTATTTATTAGGATATTACTATATATGGTTAGTTGTCTTTGAGTCACATTAGGATAGTCTATTAGGTTTTCCAATCTCTATCTATAAATATGTACTTTGGGTCATTTGTTCGATTAAGCAGAAATCAATAAGAGATTATCTTCCCAAATCCCTAATCTCTCCCTATCTCCTAATTTCTATTCTCTCCTAATTCAAGGCCTCGGCCGATTCTTATTATTTTCTTCCTCTTCCCCAAATCTTCAATCTCAATCCCTAATCCTATCCTCAAATTTCTAAATTCCCAATCAACCAACACTATCGATAGAACCCTAGAAATAGGTTTCTATCAAAATGCAAACTTCATTATTCAAATAGATGTCTTTTGGATGGGATTGCGGTGCAAGTTTTTTTCTTCTTCTAAAATCTCACATCTTCTCAGATTTCAATTGAATATTTCGTTTGTTTAGAGAAAAAATTTGTGGGAATTTTTAGCACCCGAGATTTCGAAAAGCTTATTAATATCTATATTTTTCTTCGATGAAAGGAAAGGTAAAAGCGAATCTATTATGGAGCCGTATGCAATACGCAAACAATGCCTGTACGGTTTTTCAATTCTATCTTTTTTCTTATTATTCTTGCCTTATCATCTGAGACAAAGTAACCATTTATTATCTTATATCATCAGGGTAATGATCCATCAACCTATTGTCGAAAGAATTATTGAAACTATACGAAATCCTCACAAGGGTTTATGCACAAAGAACGGGCAAGCCCCTATGGGTTGTATCCGAAGACATGGAAAGGGATGTTTTTATGTCCGCAACAGAAGCCCAAGCTCATGGAATTGTGGATCTTGTAGCAGTTGCATAAAAAACCGAGCAATATTTGATATATTTTTTTTATTAATGTTTTCCATCGCCAGTCTTCCTGCTCAGGTTGCAATGACGAGCGCTGCCCGGGAATTGGTTCATTCGTAGGCATATACTGTTGATATTTGTAACTTTCCAGCATACTAGCAACTTCTCCCGCGCTCCGCTGCGGTTCATGAGTTGAATCAATGGTAAATTATTTAGTTTGAATTTTTCGTATATGTCATGAATTAATTGTAAAGCATGGGCAATATTAATAGCTACAATAAGTATTCAAATCATTAGATATTATCAGTGACACCTAATTTGATATTTAGTAGTTTACTTTGACAACCCTTGTATACAATATTGGGTCAGTGGAAAGAAATAGATAGCAAATGGAGGATAGTGATATTTTTTAATGAGTACTTAATTTTATTCCTCGGTATACTGTAGCATTATATCACAAAGATATGATCTTTTGTCCAAAGAATCGTATCATATGCCATAGCACGTCAACATCATCGTACAACTAAGTAATGCAATTTCGTTGTCGACCAATTTTATAAAAAAAAAATAAAAAAATGGATTGAACTGACATTTGAACCGAATCAAACCGGAGAAAAGCAGATTTAGCTATTCTATTTATTAGTGGACGACACTAGGGGTTAAAAAGAAGAGAATGAGCCGCTTGTCACTGTTTTTTGACAAAAATATTTCAATGAAAGACAAGAACAATCACTACTGGAGAACTTTCTTGAACGAAGTAGTACCCGTGAAAAAAATTGATAGAGCACTGTTTTGAAAGTTTCGTTAGGAGGAAACGTCGCAAGCTGAAATAAAGGGTAAATGACACATTTGGTCACTGAGATTACTAAATTGTGTCATGTATAGTCACTAGAAAAAATTAATATCAATTTTGGTCACTCGAATTACCGAAACTGGTCAAATTTAGTCACTCTCCCGTCAGTTACCGTCCAACTCCATTAATGTAGTTCGACGGAAAATTTTGGGAGAGTGACTAAATGTGACATGTTTCAGTAATCCGAGTGACTAAATGTGACATTTTTCAATAATTCGAGTGACCGGAGTTGGACAGAGGCTACAGAAGAGTGACCAAATGTGACCTGTGTCAGTAATTCGAGTGACCAAAATTGATATTAAATTTTTCTAGTGACCAAATATGACACGATTTAGTAATCTCAGTGACCAAATATGTCATTTACCCCTGAAATAAATGAAGCCAACAACCGAACAATCAGTCAGTAGCCTCAAACACTTAAAGTTAATAGAAGCATACTCAATTATTTATCCTTAGTCTTAGGAAATTAATCAGTCAAAATTATTAGGATGTGAAGCAGTGAAAGTACAATTATTAGATTTCACCAAAAAGAGATACTTAAAATTCATATACAGAAAAAAAATATGCAAAGGAGAGTGCAAAAGTTCCAACCAAAAAAAGTAAGTGAAATGTGACATTCGCTTAATAATAATAATATGAAAAGGTTAGTGATAATCCAAGATATGGGTCAACTACTCGTTACCATGATAATCCAAATTAAACCATATAATTGTTAGCAACCCTAATAATTATAATCAGTTAACTAGTCACGGCCCCGGCCAGTTGGCCGGTTTCATTTCAGAATCGTGTTAATATCAAATAAATAGGAATGTCGGATTCATTTGCGAATCATGTAAATACAAAATAGGAGTATCATGAATTTCACGTGTTTTGTTTGTTTACAAAAATCAAAATCCCTGAAAACTATTGAAATGTAAATTTCTTGGTAATGTAAAGAATCCAAATTATTAAAGTACTTAAATCATTTAAAATACAAACATCATAGTATTCTGGGACATCCTAACCGACTCATCGAACATAATTAATTTACAAAAAATCAACGACAAACCCTTTTACCAGCGAACTAAATTCTAATTTTTTTTTAATCACCCTTATCTTTACTCATCGTCAGTGTCGTGCTCGTCCCCGTCCTTCCTTTGAGGTGCTTCCATGTTTTTCACCGGTGGATTTGGTCCATGGTCGTCACTATATCACCAAAAATGAATGACAATTACTCCCGTTTTGGTTTGTTCAACATCAGCTCATAACACGCAGGCAAATATGGTGAGTAATGTTTAAGAACTACACCTTGGCCCAAAATTAATTACTTTCTTGGATTCGCCAGTAGTAAGGTCGCTCCTGAAGAGGTGAAATTAATTTTAATTGCAAATTCAACAGTCGTTTGATTAAATATCGGTTAGCTAGTGCCAAAGACATCTGTGTAACAAATAATATATGAAAGTAAGTTTTTGGTTGTCCACGCACCAGAACATTTTTTATTTGAGAATAATGCTTAATACATGAAAGAAATTTTCTTTGGTTGGACTTCCTCTCAATCTCATCTTCTTCGATGAAGTAAAATTTGTAAATTGGTATCTCTTGAATATCATCGCATGCTTCGGCCTTGGTATTTGACTAAGGCTTCATGACCAATTTATTTGGGATTGGGCTGTCATCTCCCATTGACATATTGATCTTAAAGTTCTTGATATTTGATTCCGAAATAGGGGCTGGAAATTATTGATTTCCCCTTTGGGAATTTGCACCAAAATATCATTACCTTGGGTTAAAAAATAGGCGTAGTAATAATGTCAACGATTGAATAACAGAGATAATTTTTGTTGTTGATTGTTTAC